TCAAAACAAACAACCCCTAACTAAATACATCCTAAAAGCCACCTTTGCAGTCTGTGAAGCTTGGAGTTTAATGCCCTCTGCAGGATCCTCATTTACAAAGCAAACTGCCCACCCCTGGCAGTTCAGAAGGCTCTTCTGAGTGGTAGTGCTAGAGATACCCAGGTTCTTCCCTTTCTGGAGAAGACAGGCTGGGGAGAACTTCCCCTCCAGTGAAACCATTTAATTTCTAGGCCCTATGTTATACAGGGTCACCAAGCCCTCCATTTACTCTTCATCTGTTGACTCGATACCAAGTGACTGTGGAGGGTGATCTGACCGGTTTGGAGATGGTAGGTGAGGGGTTAGCAGCTGCCAAATGAGAAGGGGCTCAGCCTGCCTGGCAGCCCCACCCAGACCTCAAATCCAGCTTGGCAGTACCAGCCCCAACAGGCCAGCCCCACCCTTGGAGAAATGAGACTGTCCCAGCGCCCCCAGAGGGAGGAGTATCCAGGATCCTGGCTCTGGGTCTCTGCCTCTGACACTGATTCTAACCTTCCTCCTGGAATTCTGACTTAAGAGAGTTTCTCTGCTCAAAGGTAGGACCTAGATAGAGGGTACAGAACAAAAAAAGTTGGGGAAGGCACAGTCTCTCTCTACAAGCCCACCCCATGGGCTCTTTCTGGGGGCAATGTAGCTGTAGGATTCTTTGTAAAAACCAAGGCTGAAGCACAAGGAATACAAAGAACTCCTCTCCTGTGGAGGAGAGACAAAGACCAGTTCCTGATACTCCTTACAAAGCTTAGAAGGGCTAAGTATGGTGGGTTTTTTGTTTGTTTGTTTTTGTTTTTGTTTTTGTTTTTGTTTTTGTTTGAGACAAGGTCTCACTATGAAGTTCAGGCTGGCCTTGTACTCACTATAGCCCAGCCCGGCCTCAAATTCATAGTGATTCTCCTGCCTCAGCCTCCCAAGTGCTGAGATTACAAACATGTGCCACCACACTGGCTTGGTAATTTTAATGACGATTCATGAGCCCATACTGCACCAGAATCTGGGCCTAGGATTACAGAGGAATTGGGAGTCAAAGGTGAGTGTTGTGGTTTTAAGGGTCAAAGAAGTTTCCAGAGACTCTGAAAACAGATTCCTGAAAGAGGATGCAGTAGGGCTGAATCTTGACAGTGGGAAGGGGCTCTCCAGAGCAGGACAGAGTGTCAAAGTGTGCACAGTTAAGTCCTCAAATCCCTGTAGAACCTCAGGCAACATCTCCTGGGCTCCAGAACTTCATTTCCCACCTGTTAGGGAAAGGTGCCCTTTGGGATAACCACACAGACAGCACTGACAACAGCCTGGCTTACTGCAGTGTCCTCTGTGACAGGAACTGTCCTAATAAGATGCCCCTGCAACTTTCCTAATCCTAGGGACCAAAAGGATGTTTGCTGCAGAGATACCACCCAGAAGATCCCACAGGCTCTCCTGGACCTAGGAACAGATGAATAAAATCACTATTCTCCTGCAGAGGCAGGAGAATGACTATGAGTTTGAGGCCGGGCTGGGCTATATAGTGAGTACAAGGCCAGCCTGAACTTCATAGTGAGAACTTGTCTCAAAAAAGAAAACAAAAAAAAAAAAAGACTATACTTAGCCCTTCTAAGCTTTGTAAGGAGCATCAGGAACTGGACTTTTCTCTGTCTCTCCTCCACAGGAGAGGAGTTCTTTGTATTCCTTGTGCTACAGCCTTGGTTTTCACAAAGAATCCTACAGCCCGCGTCCGCCTACATATATATACATACGCAACTCTCCTTAGCCAAGAAAGGAACTGGAGGCATTAGGAGCCCAGAAGGGCTTCAAACAGACTACAGTGATCAGAGGCAAAGGACGCCCAGCCCTGTAATGAGAAAATAGGGCAGGAAAAACCTTACCTCTATTCCCATGTTAGCCCCTTCCCATAGTTCTTGGGACTTTTTATTGTTTTTATTTAGAGGAACTAGTTGCCATGGTCACTTCTGAGGCCAGGAGGCTGACAACCATGAGTAGATGAAAACAGAAGTGAAGAGAGGAGGGGATTCTGGCCCCTGCTGCAACTTGCCCTCTGTCAAGCAAGCTATATGGTTTTTGACCCCCTACTTCAAGTCCCAACTTCCAAGCATGTGAAAAGGTTTAAGGGACCAAGCCTTGAAAATGCCCAAGTAGAGGTAAAGCCAAAGGGTATCAATTAACCGATTAGGCCTGGGAAGGGATACAAGCGAGAGTTTAGCAGGAGAAGCAGGAGCAGACTTCTGCCCCTATGCCTTCCCCTGAGGCAGCTAGTCAAGTTTCTGCCAACAGGACAGCAAAGAGTACGTGGGGTGGCATGGAGGCAGAAGGGAGACGCTGGTGGCATAGGTTTACCTGAAGATGAAGGCTCTGTGTAAATGAGGACAAGAAGGCACAAGTGGTGGTCAGAGGCTGAGGAAAAGGGAAGAGGCCCAGCTCCCCAGGAAGGAAGAGCCTGCCCCAAGGAACAGTAACAGCTACAAGGACAACAACCACAGCCTTCCTGTTTTATGAGTGACTGATGCAACCCAAACTTCCTGTGGAGCACTATCTGTCATGTCTGTTAACGGGGACAGAGGATAGCTTTGGTGACAGATGAATAGAGATGGCCTGCACAAGTTCAGGCTTCAAGACAGGACAAGCCAGGCTGATACTCTGAGGTGTAGCCCTACACCTCATGGAGGCAGAAAGGCAAAGAACCCATGACCTTGACCTAGGTAAAGCTAGAATGTCTGTGGAGATGACCAAGCAGCAGCATGGAGAGGGCTGGGACCATTTCCTGAGCTGACTGAGCTCCCTGGGCCCAGGCATACCCATAGGCTGAGGTCCCCATGTCCTAGCCCTCCCGGACAGAGCAGAAGCTATAGCTGAGGAGACACTATCTCCCTCTGCATGGTCACAGTCACCAACAGAGTACATATACAACAAGCACTGTACCAGAGGTTCAGCTGGCTCCAGCTTGGGAGGTGATGAGTAGCTGTCCGACTGGATAGGGAGTTCTAGGCTGGGGGGTGGGGATGGCAGGAAGGAGCTAGTATGGGGGTCACATCTAATGTCTGCCCCCTTTGAGGGTCAATTTAGGACCACATCTGAAGGTCCCAAGACAGTAGCCCCAGCATGCTCACCTATACTTTGAAGGACCAGAGCTACCTAGTTCCCAGCCCAGGACAGAAGTATGCTGAGGCTCTAGAACAGGAAGAGCTGTGGAAGTTAACATAATCAGAAGTGCCCCCCACCTCCTGCGTCACTCATCACACACAGCATCTATATGGAAGGTGCTGAGCCAGCCACTGAGACCCAGCCACTGAAACTGGGCCTAGTGGTACAGGCCTATAATCCCAACGCTGGGGAGGCTAAAAACAGGAGGATCACTATGAGTCCAAGCTGCATAGTGAGACCCTGCACCAAAATACATTTAAAAAAAGAAAAAGTGGTGCTGCCTAGGCTCACAAACTTGGGCCTCTCCCCTGACCCTTGCCTTGTTCACATCATCGGGACCCCACAGAGGCTTGTAAGAGCTCCCTCCTAGCTTACAGGATTAAAGTTTCAGTACTGAGAAGAGCTTCCCCAGCCTCAGTCATCCCCTCACCCACCCAGACTGCCTTCTACCCTAGGACAGGCAAAAGGGCTAAATGTTGCCAAGGGAAAGAATAAGGACTAATTTCTCACTTGTCACACCTGCCTGCTGTCAAAAAAAGCTGCCTTTTCCCAGAAGGTCTCAGAGAACGCTGTGCCTGGCTCTCCAAAAGTCCCTTCCTCCATTCCATTGTTGTATTAGTGGGCAAAGAAGCTATATCTGGAGCCCAGCCCTACCAGCCAGGCCTGATTTTCCCCAGACCCACACTTGTTACCCCCTCCAGGAACACCCTGGGGAGATGACTCACTAGTCCTGGGAAAGACACGAGGAGCTGGATCTAGGTCTCCTTACTCAGATACTTGTAGATCTTGTCCCTATAAGTCCTGTAGCCTCTCTAGGCCTACACCAGGTCCTCTGCCAAGCACAATATCATTATCTCATTTCAAGCTCACAATCCTTGTTTTTTTTTTTTTTTTTCCTCCTGAACAAAGGCAGAAACCTGACTAGGAGAGTCCATGTTATTGTCCAAGGTCATGGAGCTGGCAAACATAGGGTAGAGATCAGAGCCACATCTATAGGACTCTGCACCCAAGCTATATACTATGACTTACGAAGGGGAAAGAAAACCTTTTGCTGTGTTTCTAACTTTCAGGAGCCATTCTGCCTGCCATGCTCTACCCATCCAGGTGTTACTGGCAAGAGCTGCACATAAGTAAAACTTCCTATGATAGCAGATTCAAAGATTTCTGGTTATAGGGCAGGATCTGGGCCAGAATTGCGGGTCTTAAGCCAGAATCGAGTCAACCTAGATCTGTGTGGCAGGCTTCCAGGGAGCCTGGAGCATGACGTGGCTAGACGGTTGGCCCACCCTCTACCCAGGAACCAGGGTGGGTAGGGCTTGCAGCAGGGCCTGCCCCTTTCACTATGGGAGCAGTGACTCACTGGGAGCCCCCTGGGATCCTCCTGCTCTCAGGAACAGTGGGAATCAGCATTGCCCACAACACACCAGCCCCTGCTGGCAGGTGCCTCGGAGAGGAAGACTTCAGGCCAAGTCCTTGGTGGGGGCTCAGTCTCAGGCAAAGGAAAACTCGGGTCCATCCCAGTCACAGCAGTCAAGCTGAAGGAGTCCCCTTTGGCCTGAACACACAGCCTCAACCAGAGCAAGGGCCCCAAGTCATTACTTCCCTCCTTCCGGGTACAACAGCTCTACCCATAGTGACTCCGCCCCTCGATCACTAGGACCCTGAGCTTAAACTAAGCCTGTTCACCCAAGTGTAAAATTGGGAAGACCAGGAATCTGACAGTACAGCACAGCAAGAGGGTGAAACAAGATGCTAGCCAGAGGATCCTGACCAGGAGCCCTGGACGCCGATGCTCCTACAAGTCACCCCAGGACTCGGTGAGGGTCACTAACCTTCAGGGCACACTTCTGCCCGGTGCGCCGATGGAAGCATTCCAGCACCTTGCCGTTGACACCCAGACCCAGTACCTGCTTGGACAACTGGTAGTCATCGGTCACGGCGTACTTCTTGGGCTCCCGCCGAACCCCGAGGGCCAGAGCACTGCCCACGCCGGATTCGCCGAGGGCCCCAGGTGGGAGGGCAGGGCCGCCCTGCTCCTTTGCGGTCTGGCCATCCATGGCCAGCGCGGGGCGCTCAGAAGCGCACCCAGCCTGGCGTGTCCCGGACACCTGGGGAAAAAGAAAGAATGACTAACTCCTCTCCTGGGATTTCCCAGCACACTCGGCCTCAGAGCCCTTGAGTTAGGCTGGGCTGGGAGCTTGGGACAAGTTTGGGGTGCGGCAAACAGCTCTAGAGAAGGAAGCGCAACGGGTGGTGGCCCAGCAGCCTAGCACGTGTCAAGAGAAAGCCCAGGCGAGTGGCCGCGAGGTCCTGAGATGGTGCAGCGCCGCGGCTCGGGAGTATGCACTTGGCGAGGACGCACCTGGCAGCGCGCGGAGCAAGGGGTCGAGGCAGCAGGCGCGGGAGCGGAGCAGGCGGGCGGCCGGGCGCCCTGGGCCGAGTCTCGCCGCCCGGCCCGGCCCACGTGACACCCCAACCTCGCGTCACTCGGTCTTGGGGCCCGCTAAGTCTGCCTTAAAGGGCCAGGCGGGCTGGGGCTGGTAGAGGCTTCGCAGGACAACATAGGGGTGTGGCTTCCTAAGGAGACCTGTAACCTTCCTGAATTCCAGGGACACGCGGGAGGACTCTTGCACGTGGGATGCCTTCCTGGACTTTACCAGAAGGTGAGAGAGCAAGATGTCTTGTTGCTCTTGAAGCTGAATAGTCTCTCTGTGAGCTGCTGGACAGCACTCCAGAGTAGCTGCCAAGCTGCTGGCTTCACTGCTGGTGGTTTGCTGTCCCCACACCCTTCCTCCCTCTTTAGCATTGGGAACTGAACCCTTGGCCTTCACTACATCACCCAGACTGGTTTTTTAGAAGGTCTCCTTAGGTCGCTAAGTTGTTTAGGTTGGATTCAAACTTGTGATCCTCCAGCTTAAGACTACTAGAATGCTTCCAAATGCTTAATTTTTGCCAGCATGCCTAGGACGGAGGCATCTCTTTGTTTGTGACTCTCCAGTCCCTGATGGCCCTACCTGTGGCTTCTACTCATATCTAGGGCTCACTTTTTCCTTTGGTTATACAGTGCTCTTGGACTAGAAATCCTGATTTTCTATTTAGCTGGATTGATCAACTTTTAACCTTATGGTTTGGGCTTTTGGTACTTAAAAGTCTCCACCTGGCCAGGCACAGTGGCATGAACCTATAATCCCAGCACTTTTGGAGGCTGAGTCAGGAGGATCCCAAGTTTAAATCCCTGGAAAATTTAAACTCCGTTTCAAAATTTAAAAATAAAAATAAAAATACACTTTTAACCCAGTGTAAAGGCCTTGGTTTCAACTCCTTGTACTGCAAAAATCAAACCCCAGTGGCATGTTCTCTATTACCTTTGTAGTTTGTCTCTCCACTTTTAAGCATCTACTTCATTCTGATCTCATGTTGGCCTCTTGTACATATTCTGAGCCAGTTTTCCCAACACAGTCTCTTATTTTACAAAAGATATGGAAACTCCCAGAGAGGAAGCAAATTTATCTAGAGCCTATGGCTGTCTCCTAGCAGCAAATCTCACTTCCTTAAATTGTTCACTCCAGAAGACTGAAAGATCCTTGACAGGTGGCCCTCTGTAGGTACTGCTAACCGCTGGTGGGAGCAGGATCTGCGCAGGGCTCTGCTGCCATCTTCAGGCTGTCCTTAGAGCTGCAGACACTACGACCTTGATCCATCAGAATGAATCTTGAGGCTATTTTCTTGGCTTCCAAGTTGGTGACCATTGAGACCTTCCCCACCACGTTCTGAGTGCCTGGCCTGTGGGTCCAGGTTCCTTCAAGGGGAAGCTCCTGAAAGCTGGAATCTGGTGCCCTCCACATCCCTGGTGACATCTGTGAGGATTGAGTAAATGAGTGAAGGGGGTTAAACTATTGATGGGTATCTTGTGTGCAAGTGCTGAATTGGGACAGGGTTTGGGGCTCTTGCCCTGTCTCCTATAGGTGACTTTAAAGCCAGCAGCATTCAATGAAGCAAGAGTGCTCAAACAATAGGCTTAACTAACTATACTGAGCATTTTGTGCTGGCCAAATGCCAAATAGGTATCTCCCCAAACACCACAACCTCACCAAGAACAGAAGAGGAAGGCAAACCCACACTTCAGCCACACAAGAGAGATCATTTCAGAGAGGGAGAGCAACTCAGAAGTCAGCAGCCAGCATACAGAGCCTATATTCCAACCCCAAAACACAACCTCAGGGCTGGACTCTTACCCTCAAATCAGAGTCTCTTGTGTGTATGTTGGAAAGCAGGGTGATAGAGTTTAAAGTGAGGACCTCTGTACTGAACTACATCCCCAGCCCTTTTTTTACTATTTATTTTAAGACAGAGTCTTGCTAATTTGCCCAAGCTGGCTTTGAACTTGTGATTCTTCTGCCTCATCTTCCTATGCACCTGGGATTACAGGCCTACAGAACCACACTTGACCTGTGGCCACTACTAGTGGTTCTCTTGCCTCCCCTACACAGCCAAATGTGCAAGCATACCCTTACACACGCATATAACATGTGCACAGAAACACTTACACATGGGCACATGTATGCATAGACAAACGTGCACACTACATGCACATACACACAGATGTACATGTTCATGCAGAGACCACACATTTATAACCAGCTGACCCAGGACCAATATTTCTTAGTCCTATATAAGAATCAGACCCAAGGCCAGGGAGGTAGCTAAGTAGAATAAGTGCATGCCTGGCAAGCTCAAGGACCTGAGTTCAATCCCTGGCTCTGCAAAAATAAATAAATAAAATAAAGAACCACACATGTGATGTCACCCATACCCACCATGGGCTTCCCATCACACATACCCAGAACTATACTAAATCAATCAGTGGACTGGTGCAATTCATCATGCACCCTTAATTCAGTATCACACATCCATGATCCAGCCACCTCCCAAAATGCACTCCTATGAGGGCATGAGGTTTGGAGGGTTATCCAGATACAAGGTATCAGAATCTTGAAGAAAACCCCGTGACCCAGAATCTTCTCCTGAAGGGAGGCTGAATTGGGTCTCACAAGTGAGCAGAGAGGCTATGTAGCTGAAGGCAGATGCTGGCTCCTTGCCTCACCAAAAACCTCTCAGCAGAGCTATCTTCTTTCTTTAAAATGGAGTTATATTACAATTCTCTAAAAAAAATTATAATTGTGTACTTTAATCTTCCATGATTTTTAACAAAATTTTAATCACATAAGTAAAACTTGTTTGTTATAATTAACTCAAACCACACATGTGATGATTAAGCTTAATTATCAACTCCATTGGCTTGGCAACCAGCTAAAGGATTAGTAAAGTACACTTCTGAATGTGTCTAGGTATCTTACTTATTTTTTTCACTGCCTTACACCTAAAATTAAAGGTGGAAAGGTTTATTTTAGTTCACAGTTTGTAGAGGCTTCAGTTCATAGTCATTTGGCTCCGAGGCAGGGCAGGCTGGCAGAGTGGCAAGGCAGAAGAAAAACAGTCCATGGCAGGGCAGGCTGAAAAAAGTAGCTAACCTGCCTTCTACTTTTCCCTTTATAGTCTATGTAGGCTACACACATTTTGGTTGGTGTCACCCATACCCACCATGGGCTTCCCATCACACATACCCAGAACTATACTAAATCAGTCAGTGGACTGGTGCAATTATCATACACCCTTAATTCAGTATCAGACATCCATGATCCAGCCACCTCCCAAAATGCACTCCTATGAGGGCATGAGGTTTGGGGGGTTATCCAGATGCAAGCCACAACACTGGGGCATGGAGGCATGACCTTGGGGTCTATATCTGGTCTCTGGTCCCTTATTTTCTGCCACTGTTCCCCTGCTCTGCTTCCTGACTGCCATAAACTAAGCAGCTTTGCTCTACCAGCCAACCATGTACTGAATCATCTGAAACCATGAGCCAAATATACCCTCTTCCTTAAATTATGAGAATAGGTATTTTATTCAGTAATAGGAAAGCTGGCTATTACAATAAAAAAGGGTAAAAAGTAAGCAGTGGTGATGCCTAACCCCTCCCAGTCCCATAACCAATACCCACCCTTACATAGGTATACACATTCCCCACATGGGCTCATTATAGGCAAATGTTTTACAACTATTCACTTAACTTAGGAGTCAGAATATGTAGTTTCTTCTCAGTGCTCATGTTCGAGCAGTCACTTGACACATCTCCTTTTACACTGATGGGAGGATTCAGTATTTAGAATAGTTGTGTTGAAGGGGACAGAGGCAGGCCCTTGAAATAGCTTACAGAGACCAAAGATGAGTGAGTACTTGAGGGGGGCAATCAACATACATGTGGACTGTCCTTGGAAGAGAGAAAGGATACTTATGGTGGGCAGATAGAGACCAAATCAGCCCGGTATTGAAGAAGGCACTGTTGTATACTCTTGGGACCTGTCCTGTGATTATTCTGGGCAAGAAAGGGCAGGGGAAGCCTGCAGCATGAAATCATGGGTAAGTAGTAGAAATATGCTAGAAAGGACACTGGAGATTTGGCCAGAAGGAACACCACTGGGTGGCAGTGTGGGCCCAGAGGAGAAAGGGTCAGAGACTCACAGGGAGCAGATAGGGTAGGAGAGTAAAGGAAATGGCCAGAGTGACCCACAAGGCCTGAGCCTGACAAGCACCTAGAGTCCAGTTGGAAACACCACATTTACAGCATGAGGTGAGGACAAGATAGTGATGTCAACCTTACAAAAGATGAGTAGAGGGCCAAAACCTCTGGGGCCCTTTAGTTTACACACAGAGTCGCCTAATCACTGATCTCTGTAGAGGGTTCTTTCAAGAGAACACCCATGCTGCTCTATTGACTGGCCTGGGGATAAGGAAGTTTGGCTGCAGAGTTTATGTTTGGATACTGAAAGATGTCTACAAATCGGCAGGTCACAAACACAGAACAAATAGGAGGAAGAATATAGGACTTCAGCTCCAACTCACTACTTGCTAGCTATGAAATTTAGGATACAGATGCGAAAGAGTGGGAACAGATGAGAGTGACATGAGTGGGGCCCAAAGAAGGAAACATGGCTTCCAAAGTGTTTGAATCCATCGGCAAGTTCGACCTGGCCTTAGCTGTGGCAGGAGGCAGGGTGAACTCTGCCTTATATAATGCGGGCGCTGGGCACAGAGAAGTCGTCTTTCGCTGATTCCATGGAGTACAGGACATCATGGTAGGAGAAGACACTCACTTTCTCATCCCATGGGTACAGAAACAGATGATCTTTGCCGCTCTCGACCCTGTAATGTGCTGGTCATCACTGGCAGCAAAGATTTGCAGAATGTCAACATCACCCTGCACATCCTCTTCTGGCCCCCTCCAGCCAGCTACCCACATCTTCACCAGCATCAGTAAGGATTATAACAAGCTGTGCTGCCGTCCATCACCACCAAAATCCTCAAGTCCATGGTGGCTCGCTTTGACGCTGGCAAGCTGATCATGCAGAGAGAGCTGGTCTCCAGCCAGGTGAGCAACCACCTCATGGAGCAAGTAGCCACTTTCAGCCTCATCCTGGTCAACATGTCCCTGACGCATCTGACCGTTGGGAAGGAGTTCGCAGAAGCCATGGAAGTCAAACAGGAGGCTCAGCAGGAAGCAAAGAGGGCCAGATTCGTGGCGGAAAAGGCCAAAGAGCAGAAGAAGGCAGCCATCATCTCCATCATCTCCACAGAAGGCGACTCCAAGGCAGCCAAGCTGACGGCCAACTCACTGGCCACAGTGGGCTATGGCCTGATTGAGCTACACAAGCTGGAAGCCGCCAAGGACATCGCTTACCAGAGGTTTTGCTCACGCAAAATTACCTACCTGCTGGTGGGGCAATCAGTGTTCCTGCAGCTACCGCATTGAGCCCGCCCTACACCCCTCAGCTGGCCGTGCCGTGAACGCACACATGCACAGCAACTTTTTCCATCCCACCCCAGAAATGAATCACTGTGACATTTCATGATTGAGCTAGAGTGACAGAAATAAAAACAAAATATTTCCGCCCTCCAATTCTCCAATGAAGCTTTCATTCTTCCCATTGCCATCTATTTTTTATCCATCTCCCTATCAGAAGTTGTCACATGGCTCCAAAGAACAGCTCCAGTCTGCAGGCACTCTGGTGCTCCAGCATCGGCACTGTCAGTGGGCAGGATAAAGGCCGGGCAGTGTGGCAAGGAACGGGGGTGTGCTGCTGGCCTTCCCAGGAGACTGGAGCCTCTTCCCTGTCCTTTAGTGACAATTCAAGGATCAGTGGAAAGTGGCAGTTCACTGTAATGGGGCCCTACAGATGTGCAAGAATCTGCCCCTGTGAAGGTGGGTGCGCCTCGCCTCACTGTCCCTCAGGGTCCTAGAACCAGGATGGACCTGGATAGTGAGGCGAGAAGAGTTGCGGCCCAGATATGTCCTGCTGGAGACTTCCGGCCCCAGTGCCTGGTGGAATCGCAGCTTTTTTTTTTTTTTTTTTTTTTCTTGTGGGACCAGTGATTGAACTCAGGCCCTTGCTCTTGCCAGACAAATGCTTATTCTACTGAGCCCTCTCCCCGGCTCCAGGCAGCCTGAAGGATCCTTGCCTGCCAAAAACAAGCATCCTGCCTTCCGCTCTTATACAGGCTGCACCAGGCCCCAAGGAAACAATCATGGGAAGAAAGTAAATGTGTATAAACCACACTGTCAATAAGCAGCACCCAGACCTTCAAAAATTAAAAAAAAAAAAAAAGAAAAAGAGATTAGTGTACAATGTAATCATTCTATGTCTGTTTCCTCATTTGTATGATGGGATAACTCTGATAGTTATGTCTGTACAAGAGGCTGTAAATTGCTGGGTTTCTGGCACATAGTAAATGTCAGGGAGAATAAACACAGTGAGCTGAAAGAATATGGTCTTAGGGGTAAAGATCTTAGGATTTGGTTCCATAAAAGACCCAGGTTCAAAGCTAGAGCTCTGGGGCCAGAGAGATAGCTCAGTAGATTAAGTGCTTGCCTGGCAAGTGAGAGGGCCTGAGTTCAATCCCCGGTTCCAAAAATAAAATAAAATTATAAAATAAAATTTAAAAAACAAAGTTAGAGCTCTGAGGGCTTAGCAGACTAAGTAGCAAGGACCACCATTTGGTCCCCTTGCCATGCCGGCCCCGCCCTCAGGCATCCTGAGCTGGCCACCAAGACCAGGCATGGTGATGCATGCCTGTAACCCCAGTGCTAGCGAGGCTGAAAACAGGAGGATCACTACAGTTCTGACCTGAGAGGTAGTGAGACCCTGTACCAAGAACACATAAAAATAAAAATAAAGCTAGAGCTCTGGGAGTTGGGGATGTGGTGGCTCTGTGGTGAGAGTGTCACAGCAGCATATACAACACCCACAGCTTTTTTAAAAAAAAAAAATTGTACCTCTGTTACATGGTATCAGTGAAACTACTTCATCTTCCTAGTAATGGCACAGTAGCTATTCCTCACTGGAGAGATAGAAGCCCACTCAGGACCCCACAGTAGGCTCTCCAAGGTACCCTAGTCCTTCAAGAAGGTGATGAGGTATCCCTCCTGTCCTACTCCTATCCCAAGAAACTGTCCTCTCTGGCCTATTTAGGAGGAGCTGGCAGAACTACTGAAGTCTGGCTTCTCTTCAGAAGAGTCACAGACAATAAGTCTCCTGGAGTCATTCCTCATATTAACCATTTAGTTTTTTTCCTGTTACACAGGTCTTCATTTTCAGAGCTCCTTGTCCTCTGCTCTATCCTGGTTAGGGCACCTCGGGGCTTGTCTACCCTAAGTAAAGCCCTGGCTGTTATTCAGGCCTCCTATACACTCTACTTCCTGGATTTTTTCTGAGAATTCTGGGGGCACACACTAGGCAATGAAGGGGTAAGGGGGAAGAGGTCCTGGAGGCTTCTAAATCTCATCTCCCCTAGTCCTTCTGGCCCAAAGATTAGGTTAGAAGTTCTCACCCTATGGTCCCTTAACATGTTCCCTGATGAGTCATGAACTAGAAAAGGTGGAAGGGATTAGGACAGACTTCAGAGAAAACTCTGGACCTACCATTTCCCAGCAAGGCATTTCACTCCCTGGGACTCTACATGTTTGTAGAATGGGAGCAATGCCATTTTTTGAGAATCAAATATAGCATAGATGGGAGCAGTGTCACCCACCTCTATCCTATCTCCCAAATTATAGGTCTTTCTTTCAACATTTTCTGTGGGCTCACCAATTAAGAGAATAAATTATTCGGACGCTGCCTGTCCCTATTTACCTCAAGTCACTTTCCTGATTAATTGGGCTGGCAGCCTAATTCAAAAGGTTGGGTGTGCCTTCTCTCTCTCTCTTTTTTTTTTTTTTTTTTTTTTTTTTTTTTTTTTTTCCAGAACTGGGGATTGAACTCAGGCCCTTGTGCTTGCCAGGCAAGCACTTATTCTATTGAGCCATCTTCCCAGCCCTCTCTTCTCTTTCAAAACAACAAAATTCTTGCGTGGATCCTTTCGTGGTGGCTGCAGAACCCGTTGACCTGCTCTTTTCTGGGAGCGGCCTCTGCCTTCTGCTTCCCTCCACCATCCTCCTCTTCCACCTACTCCTCTTCCACCTCCTCCTCCGGAATCCACCCCAGCCTCTACAAGCCCACACAGTCCTGGGGTCCAGGCGAGGACCATTAGCGTTTATAAACCGGACAGACCTCCTGAGAAAAGCTAGCAAGAAGGGACAAGCCCTGGACACCGCCTATGCATGGCAACAGTTCCAGAAGAGATGAGAAGGCCCATCCCCAATAAGGCGGAATACCGAAGACAATCAGGGATGGGGTGCAGAAGCCTCGGACCCCTCCCCGGCCTTCTACACTCGGGTCTTCCCGGGTTGGGCTCTTAGTCCTGCCCTGATGGCGCGTAGTCCTGGGTCCACGCGCTGCCATTGGCCCTCCCGCCACTAGGCTCCACCTCCATTCCTGCGATTGGTCGGCTCAAGGAGCCCCGCCCCGTTTTCCTGGAAAGTTCTTGGAAATGTGTCAAAGGTGTTTCCTTTCACTGCCCCAGACCGAGTTGCCGGGCAGACGCCCCCAGCACTATGCGCCCTCCTCTGCTCCGCCAAACGGCCTGCAGTTCTAGGAAGACCTGGCTTCCGGGAAGGGCTGGGACGGGGCGGGCGGAAGATTAGCGGCGACTCGCCCCGCCCCACCGGCCCGCCCCCCTCCCTGGCCCTCTGCACCTCTCCTCTCAGTCCCCGCCCGCCGCAGTGCGCCCCAGGACCCTGATCTGCTTGCTCTGCGCCCATTGCTCACTCTGCCGCGGTACCGCCAAGCCCTCGAGAGCCGCCGCTGCGTCGGGACATGGTCCTCTGCGTCCACGGGTAAGCGCAGCGCTCCGGGCGCACGCGGGAGGACAGGCCGCGTGCCAGCTGCCAGGCTTCAGGAGGGCTGGGCGGGCTGGAGGTGACGGAGGACGTAAAGACCTCCAGGGCGCGGCACTCTGTGGGCTTGGGACAGCCCCTCACAGACACACTGTGGGTAGGAAAACGAGGAACTCGCCAGCAAGGGAAGAAATGTAGGGTGGGATCCCCCTTGGTTGACACTATAGGAGATGGATGCCTGTGGAATGATGTCCCCCAGGACCCAGAGCCTCTCCCAAGCCTGCTGACTGTCCTAACTACTAGTGACCTTGGGTCAGCCTCTGCTCTTTTCTGTCCGAATGCCCATTCCCCTGCCACAGCTAGCAGTCAGGCACCTCCTGAGAGGCCAGCCTAAGATCCTTGCCTCTCCCCAGCTCTTGGGAGCAAATAGCCTCACCCCTCTTCTCAGCCCAAAGTGATAGAGACTTCCACCGACTTCCTCCTCCGCTCCCCAGAGGATCTGGAGGACAGCGTAAATGGGAGTGCTGATCGCTCAGAGCCTTGGCTTCAGTGGAACCTCCTTACACACCTGCACTCCTTGGGCTTCAATATATCCCTCTCTGACAAAGTCTGATGCTCTGCTTCGCTAAGGGATGTATGGACTTGATACCCAGTCAATTAAATTCAGATGTGTCTGACATACAGACGGATATCCAGAACACCTGGACCCATCCCTTCCCCAAAATGTTGCTTTTAAAAGTCATAGATAAGCCAAGTTTGGCCCATGTTGTACCCACATTAAAACTTTGCTGTATAAATTATCCCTGATGAATGGTCTCAGTGGCAGCCCATAGGACCCTTCCTGTCCCTCATGAGCTATTTCTATTCTTCACTACACCTTTCCTACTCATAAAAAGTCATACTCTCCACTGATCTGAAGCTCTAAGTGGGCATCCCATACCCAGGAAAAGCTGGGTGGCCCAGTGGCAGCTATTATCACAACTAGCACAGGCACAGTGCCAAGTGAGGGAGAGTGGAAGATGGGGCCAGACTAAAGTGCCCCTTGCTCTACCTAGTCCTTGGATCAGGGAAGAGGATGTGGAAGTGCTGGAAAGATTACTTCTCCCTATTGTCTCCAACATGTTCCTTCCTCTTCTGAATTTCCTTCCCCATTACCTACTGCCTCAGGTGACCCCTAATCCCACAGCCTCTTTCACATGTCCCTAGTTGAGGGCCCCAACGCCCTCAGGACCAGTATTTGAGGAGCAAGATCTTTAACAGCCCCTTGAACACATATGCATGCATGCACACGCACACACACACACACACACACACACACACACCCATGGTCCCAGAACAGCTGGTACCAGCCTAGAGTTGAGGGCAGAGATTCCCAGCCTTCTGCTGAATACCCCACCCCTGGCTGAGTTCACACCCCTGGCATGTGTCCTCAGGCAGGACTCACTGGATGGGCTCCAAGGCAGGAACACATGTACACTGGCTCCCACCCTACCATAATGACACAGCCTTGGACACACCCCTGCCCAGATATGCAGTCACTCCAGCCTTTGGAGACCAGTGCAGCCTTTCCACATCCAGATACACATCAGCCCCGGGGCTCCCATACCCACACAAAGGGAGCTGCCGAGGTTCTGCCAAGCAGTTGGTCTCATCCGCAGAAGTTCTGGCCTAACCAGCTAGCTACCCACATGCTCCCAGAAGGTGTGTGAACCAAGATCTGGACCCCAGAAGGCAGGTCACCTCAAAATTCTGCCTCCAGCTCCCCAGGCAGGATTCCAGAGTGACCACAGTATAAACAGGGTATATGTGGAAAAGTACTTTGCAACCATAGTGTGTCAGAGTAGTATGTTTCCGTCTCGTGAGTGATCCTAGGGCCATGACCTCCTAAGGGTCAGTTAGATTGTCAGGTCCAGCTTCTTTGCCTGCTGTCTGCTCCTGCCCATGTCTTCTTGCCTCACAAGCAGTATCTGGCACTGTATGTTTAGGTTGCCATTTCTGCCTACAGTGCTATCCCTTGACTTCTGTATCAGCTCAGCAGCAGGCAGAACTTGACTTCCAAATGACCCTGTGCTTTTATGGCTTGGGTTATAATTATAATGAGTGCCACTTTCCCCAGCCAGTGTGGGCAGAACTCCTGATTTTATTCTCTCATGGTGCTAAGGCCCAGCAAGAACTAGACCAAAAACTGAGGCCTGGGGTTAAATTCTGTCAAGAGTGAGGAAGGACCAGCTGTCTGTTCCTCAGGAAGCTGGCCAGTCCCTGCCAAAGCCCAGGATCACCAAGCTGCGTGGGCTTCCCCAAGAGGAAGCTGCTGAGCAGCTTTTGGCCAGCTCAGTTGCTAACTCCAATCATTTAAGGATGCAATGTTGCCAAACCCCTCAGTGCAGACTCCTCACTGGTGAAAGGAGAACTGATCACTGGAGAGGGGCAAGCTATACAGAAGACAGTAGAGCCTTAATAGGACTACCTTGCCAAGTTAGTTAGTTGAGTACTCTGCCCTTTGATGGGAGCTCATGTTTGTGGGAAGTGAGACTTTCCCAGGTCTTCAGAAGCAACTGTCTACTCCTTACTCTGAGCTGGGAGAAAAAGGAGCAAGGATGGGAGCCCAACTTGTGTGAGTAGGGAGTTGTTTCAGCTTTGAAGTCCTAGCCAGTATAGACCTAGGTCCTACTGACTGATGTAACCTATCTGGGAGTGGGAAAGCAGCTGGCAACCTCAGGCTTCCTATAGTAATCTTGGGGCCTCCCTAGTGGATCCCACACATGTCCCTCCTATGACTCAGTCAGGACCAGGGTCATCTGGTTAGCCTATATCAGCCAGAAGAGCACAAATGTAGGGCAAGTTTGCAGTGGTTTCTATCATTGTGGTGAAGATACTAGAAATGCTTACAAGAAGGATCTGGTTGGGATAGATCCAAAAAGAAAAGAAGAGATTACTTAGCCTTTAATAAATGGAAACAATCAAGGAGGTTTCTCTAGAAATGGGGTAAGCAATGGAGCCTCTGCTCATTGCCAGTCCTCCCCCTTTCAGATCTAGTCCTTTGCTGGCTGTGGAACAGATTGGGCAGCGGCCACTGTGGGCCCAGAGCCTAGAGCTGTCAGAGCCAACCATGCAGCCTTTGCCTGCTGGGGTCTTCCTGGAAGAGGTAGCAGAAGAGAGCCCTATCCAACCAGAGAGTGAGCCAAAGGTGCTGGACCCTGAAGAGGACCTGCTGTGTATAGCCAAGACTTTCAACTATCTTCGAGAATCTGGTAAGTAAGGGACAGGTCTTATCCTGGGAAATCTGCTGTAGGGAGGTTAGCTTTGTTGAGGGAGACACAGCCCTCACTTTCTGGGAGAATCTGATGAGAAAGGTACAACCCTGTCCTTTGAAGTGTGAAGAGAAAGACACAGCACTGATGTGCCCTGGGTTGGTACCCCTAGATGATTTCCAATGTGACTGGTCCTTTGGCTCTTTCTTCACTTGCCTAGGCTGGTACTGGGGCTCCATTACAGCCAGTGAGGCCCGGCAACACCTGCAGAAGATGCCAGAGGGCACATTCCTAGTACGAGACAGTACCCACCCCAGCTACCTGTTCACACTGTCAGTCAAAACCACCCGTGGCCCCACCAATGTGCGCATCGAGTACGCTGACTCCAGCTTCCGCCTGGATTCCAACTGCTTGTCTAGGCCTCGTATCCTGGCCTTCCCAGATGTAGTCAGCCTTGTGCAGCATTATGTGGCCTCCTGTGCTGCTGATACCCGGAATGACAGCCCTGATCCTGCTCCTGCCCCAGCTCTGCCTATGCCTAAAGAAAATGTGCCTGGTGACCCAGCACAGCCTGCCTCTGCAGCCACTGCTGTACACCTGAAACTGGTGCAGCCCTTTGTGCGCAGGAACAGTACCCGCAGTCTACAGCACCTGTGCCGCCTTGTCATCAACCGTCTGGTGACCAATGTGGACTGCCTGCCACTGCCCCGGCGCATGACTGACTACCTCCGACAGTACCCCTTCCAGCTCTGACTGGGCCTGCTACTTTGCCCAGCATCATGCAGCCACATTCTAGAGGGGACACAGGGTCCTGCTGGACTTCAGCCCTGCTAGCCCTCCTTCAGTCATTATGGTGCCTAACATGCATCTGGTAGCTGGACCAGGAAGAGCTGACAAGAAGGCTTGGGGGTAAAGGGAGGTGTTACATGGTTTATGGCTCCATTGTTGTGAGCCAAGTATCAGCGGATAGGGAGACAGGCAGGACCTTGTCTCACCCTACAAGATAGGCCTAGGCCTTCACTCATCTGCCTGCCCCAGCCTTCTAATTGTGTAGACTTTCCCAGCCCTGGTTTCTCACTCCGTAGGGTGGGGCAGGCCTCCTATCTCCAGCCAGCCTCAGTAGCTAGGAAAAAGGTGGCCAGAGGAACTGAGGTTGACAGTGAAAGCCTTCCTATTGAGGAGTGGGTCAGGCTGGGGGACACAGTTTTACAGTATTTATTTATTTATTCTCATTGGGGTCGATCTCAGATGATCCACCCTACCTGTCTGCCCTGAGCCCTTGGTTGTCCAGAGATAACTCTATACCAACTTTTCTGGTTCTTCCCCATGGAAAGTCCCATCCTGAGATATGTTACTGGGCCCAAGACAGTCCTGGATGTCTTGGCATGGCCCCACCTGCACATGAACGTGTGTACTCTCTTCTGTCCCCATCTTTGTGTTGAGAGGGCGGTTGAATAGACAAGAAAATAGAGCCAGGGTCTCAGGTCCTGACAGAACCTGGAGCTCACCCCTTGCAGGGCTGGGCTGGAGCTGCACAGCAGCGCCCTAAGCCTAGAGAGCTGCGTGTTGTGTCAGGAAGGGACATTGGCTGGAGGGCTACTGCTGCACCCAGGAAGGTGCCTACATGTGAGAGCGGGGGAGAAATACATAGCTGATAAGACTTTATGAAGTAAGTATTGTAACTCAAAAACCAGTTTGGTAGTCTTTTTTTCTTCCACTGATTTTTCTGTAATGATAATAAAATTACACTTTTCATTTATGGAGCCATTAGTGGGCCTCTTTTGAGTTCTGTACACAGTTTGTCCCCTTCGGTTCTGTTATCTTGAGCCTCCATTTCACATGCAGACAAGCCAAGGCCCAGAGACCTTCTGTGTCTGAGCAGTCCCTACAGAGGGATACATTGAGGGGTGGAAAAGTCAAGGAGCAGCTGTTCTCTCTCATTCCCCCTTGTTCAGCCTAAGAAAGTGAGAGACTGGAAGTGAGGCCCATTGGGCTGCTTACGAGGTCACTACAAACTACTGTGGAGTGGGTGGGGAAGGGAGATGGCAGGAGAGCCCAGAGGCTGAACTGTGCAAACAGGAAGTGCCCATTTAGAATGGAGTAGAGACCAGTGGAAGTGTGTTGTGGCCCACTCTGGGGAGCAGTGCTCTTCAGAAGAGGGAGCCAGTAGGCCCAGAACTCAGAGCCGGTCTGGCAGACAAAGTACAGTGAATGCAAAGGCAGCAAGGGATGACTGGGGCCCTGTTTTCTTGATAGAAGGAGCCCTGGGGCAGAAAGTATCAAGGTTCTGGCCTGGAACCTTCAACTCTCACTCAGTCTTACATACCAGAAATGGGTGGAAGAACAAATACAATGAAAATATCTTCTGGTATTTGATGACTTTGGAACACTTAGGCTGCTGAGACTCCGCCGTGTCCTGAAATTTTCTGTACCTTGGCACTGAGATCCTCACAGGAAAGTTTCTTGGAACCTTGTTCATAGCCTTCAGCCCTTATTTTCTAAACAATTCTTATATTCTGTCTTGTTAGCCCTTGGACCATTGGAAGTTACAGATTAGAAGAGGCACATGTGCTGATAGTTTGAGAGTAGGAAAGACTAAGGAGTGAAGTGTTGATGGGGAGGAGGCAGAAAAAAAGATAATAAGAACTGTGAGGGCAGGAGCACAGAAATGATTACCACAAAGAATACGAAACCATTGGATAAGAGTGAGCAGGAGATGGGCAAGGGAGGCAGGGCTCTATTACTGCAAGGATGCCCTTGCTCAGAGGTCCAGCCTGGCCCCTCTGCTGTTGTTGGTTATAGCTTGTACCCTTGGTTGGCCCAACAGTGCCCTTGCTCCAGGATATAATGGCCCCTCCCAAAAGTACCACCGTCTCTGAACTCTGCAACCTAGATCTCAGCCCCTTTGTGGCTCCCAAAATGACCCTGAGATCTGAGTCACCTAGCAGGCAGGGAGTGGACATGGAAGGGCCAGAGGCAAGCTATTAGCCCTCAGAGTGCTACAGTGAGACAGAAAGCTGTGAGGCATAAGGAAGTACAGCAAGCCTCACCATCCACAGGGGGACAGCTCCAGGAGCTTGTTAGGTACAAGAACAGGGAGAGGAGTTTGCTCTTCATGTATCACTCACCACATAGAGAGGAGTGCAAATGCTACCAGCACTCTGTAGAGGAAGAAACTGAAGCTCAGTGGGGCAAGGGGTTGGCCATGGCAGCCTTGACACCATCCAGCCCTAGACAGAAATGAGGTGGGAGCACCGACAGCTTCCAGGCAAATTGCTCTTGGATTCTGTCCCCTGTCCCCACTGCCTACTGGGCTTTGGAGCCACTGGCCTGACAAAGCAGGTTACTGTCCTCTTCACCTCTACCTTAGCTCAAGCCAAGTCCTGCTCTTTCCTAGGAACCAGCTGTCAGCTTCTTTTGATTCCCTAAATTTTTTTGGTTCAGTCTTTTTGTTTGCCTACCAGCAGAGCAAATGATACCGGTCTTGAACAAAGGGCATAAGATGACAATAAGAGACAATGGAAGACATGACCTAGACCGCAGATCCAAGTCTGACACCCAGCCTAACATACTGAAATCCTGGCCAACACAACTAGCTAATAAAAGGAGTGCACCCAGCTGGCACCAGCTGGAGAAAAAGGAGCAAGCCACCAGGGGAGTGCCCCTCACTCCCTAGCTTGTGTGGAGGTGCACAAGCTCCTCCGACACTACCTGGGCCAGGCTCTATCTCAGCCTTGGGGGGCATAGCAGGGAAGCAGACAGACACAAATGTGCACATAGGACAAGTTTTAACAGTGTAAAGAAAGCAAAGCAGGGGTAGGGTAGAGAGTGACTTTAGGTATGCAGACACACCTGCAGCCGAGAGGGCCAGTGAAAGTGCTGGGCAGGATGGCAGTGAACCTAGAGACTTGAGCAAAGAGCAGGAACTGGCCATAAAGGCAACTTGGAAAAAAGATACTGCAAAGGGAAGGAACTCAGGCAGCTGAATGGCTCTGAGACAGAAGCAAACCTGGAGTACAGAGAACTGTGGGAAGGGCAAGAAGGGACACTGGCATTATCCTAGCATGGTGGATCCCTTTTCAGAGACTGGTGGGGGTCCTGCTTCTGGAATCACTCCTAAGGGATGAACCCAACAGCTTTGGGGGATAGCTGGAGGAAGGAGGTCAGAAAAAAAGGTTGTGAGATAGGGGATTAGATGGGGTGGGTATGGTGAGAAGCAGAAGGAGAAAAGGGTGGCTACTCATGCCCCACTGAGTTCTCACCACAGGCCTGAACACCAGCAAGGATTGTCTTTTTTTTTTTTAAAGCACACAGTACCATGTCTTTATTGGGGATTAGACACATGTGAGAAACAGCTACATATAATCTTTAAACCAAGGCAAAATGTGTCTTAATTTCAGAGCTTTATTTTATTGCACTAAAGGAACAGTAGTTTTCTCTCTCATTTAGTTGTTTTTTTTTTTTTTATTTTATTTATTTATTTATTTGTGTGTGTGGCCAGCTCAGCCCACCAGGGGGGCGGGGCTGGCTGGCATGTGGTGCTGGGGGATTGAACCGTGGTCCCTGTGCTTTGCTAAGCTTG